GTAATTCTGTTTTCAACATCCCACTGAGATGAACCAACTTAAAGAAATGGGTATATTCATTGCTAGTTAGGGAGCTTAATCACTCCATCCTTGTTTGTTTGTTTTGGTGGTTTTATTTTTTGAGACAGGGTCTTGCCACAAACTCATGGGAATCCTGCTGCCTCAGCCTCCCACGTGCTAGAATGAAAGGCATATGCCACAACACCCAGCTTCATTTCATCTATTTTAAAACATTAGAGCCAGTGGGAGAGTTTGGAAAGCTATAGTTGCTTTTAATGGTTACCTGATTTCATTTTTTTGAAAAAGAAGGCAAAAGGGCCGAGGACATGGCTCAGTAGAATAAGCGCTTGCCTGACAAGCACAAGGGCCTGAGTTCAATCCCCAGTTCTGCAAAAAAAAAAAAAAAAAAGCAGCACCGTTCCTGTTTCTAGGGGGTAGATAGCAGAATGGTTATGGGTTCCTAGGCACAGGCTATGGAGGCTGCCTGCCCTGTTTTGAGTCCTGGCTCCGTTCTTACTACTTCTGTGAACTTAGCCAAGTCATCAAACTTCTTTGTATCTCCATTCTGTCATCTGCTAAGTGAGCCTCAACCTGAAGGACCTACATTACGAGATTAGAATGATGAATGAGCTCTACAGTAGCACCTAGGAAAATAAGCGTTCAGGAAAACACAACTAGTTCTCCAGGTGTCATGGTGTGTGCCTGTAATCTCAGTTGCTCAGGAGGCTGAGGCAGGAAGGATAGAGAGATGAAGATCAGCCTGGGAAATTTAGCAAGACCTTGTCTCAAAATTTTAAAAAGGCCTGGAATGTAGCTCAGTGCAAAGCCTTAGATTCAATCCTCAGTACAAAAAAAAAAAAAAAAAAAAAAAAAAAAAAAAGCCTGTTCTACTTTAAGCCATATTACTACTGCCCTGACTGATGTTTTACCATTTTGATTTAGAAGCTTTTGTAGCCAAAACCAGAATTTAAAAATCAACAAATAAGCTGTTAGTCTGTTTTCTATTGCTGCAACCTTAGCACCATAACCTGAAGAATTAGTAAAGAATAAAAGTTTATTTGGCTTATGAT